GAATCCCTGTAGCACATACATTCTTTTTTGTTGGAAAAACACAAATTCGGAGTTGATCTTCCCCGAAGAAGATTTGATTTAAGAGTTTAAGGATTCGAGGGTTCAAGAAAGAGTTAACTCGACCTCATCTTCACACAATTAGTCAGTTTCCGCATTCTCATTCTGTGCTCAGTTGCTTGTTATTTGAACTCCGTCTACAAGTATAACACCTGGTGAGTTAGAGCCTATATGCCGAGTCGCCAAATGCTAGGCTTAGTATATCTAAATCCATGAAAATCATCCCAGATTTAAGTTTAACACCTGAAAGGCCGGTAGAGACAACCAATGACGAACAGTCTCAGTATCTGCTTCTCTGAAATTTCTATCAGATCCACCGTTGAGCTCATAGATCTCTCTAGATGTTGACCTTCTCTACTCATGATGTATAGTTCTATAAGATATTTTTGTACGCTTTATATTTTTCGAGTATCTAGAGTCATTTGTGATTAATTTATTAAGAGTATTTTTCCTATTTTCTTTTAGAAACATTTGTTAGGTGCAACAATATGTACTCCCTCTTTGCTGAAAGTCTGTTTCGGAACTTAACGCATTCCTATTAGGGCCTCTACAGATTTCAAGTAATAGAAGCTCCTCTTTCACCAGATTCTCTCCGAAGATTGAAAAAGGTAAAATAAGAGGAGGGTTAAGTTTTCATGTGAAATCAAGCAATTTTGACAGCTACACTTCATGCGTCGCCACCCTGCCCAGTACAATATCCTAAAACTCAAAATTTGGACATCTAAACTAAGCCATTAGTATCTTTACTTATACTTTCCTTTGCTCTCAATCTAAAGAATATGTAAGTTTTTCAAAATCCTGCGTTCATCAAATTAGTAAAAGAAAAAGTCAAGAATGAACAACAACAAAAACTGCACAGCAAGCCACCCAACAACTTACGTTGCACATTAATTGAACTTGAGTAATTTTTGCCACTTGATCCCATTGAAAGTTTCCGTACGCACGTCTGCCTGTGGATGCCCCAATCCACTTATGGATAAATAGTTACATACATATCTATGTCTGTTTGTATAAGTTCATCATGTACACATTCCCTTAATGCCAAAAACATTCGATTTGAAGCGTTCAACCCCTGTGGTCAAATAGAAATTAAGTTGCGGAAAAAACATGGATTTCTCCAACGTACTTGGCGTAAATCAGCGTCAAGAACCAAAACCACAATTAACAAGCTTTGCCCTCCCCAAAACTTATTGGGAAAACTAAACTAATTAATGATTTCCCATTAAGAGACCAAAGCCATTTTTGTGCGGTCGCGCTGAGTATCAGCGTGCACTCTGCGGTAGCAATGCATATGTGTGGTTGGAGCATAAGCACAAAAGTATGTAAGCAAGCAGCTGGTTGATGTGGTGTCTTGAGGCGAGCGGTCAAGTGAACTTGTTACGACCAAAAGTTTTTTACAGTGTGAGAGAAAAATGATGGTTCGCACGATGTGTAGGTGCTCATCACAAGTGAACGCACTCTCTTTCGCACTCTCTTTCGCCTTCCTTTTTTATAGGCAGACTCGCATTTCCACAATTTTTCATAGATAGCTCTGAGTAAACAAATCTCTGGGTTTCATATTTCAATCATAAGCATGGCATGTTCGAGCTGTGGGTTTGTCCGATTAATATCTCTGCAGAGTGATCGAATTTGCTAAAAGCCTTTTTTCGATTTTTGGAGAACGCTTTTTGATTGTGTCAGTAATTTTCTTAAACTTTTGAAATCCTCATATTTTTTGTGACTTAAGTATACACGATTATTTAGTGCATGCTATCATGCGAAAGATTATAGATTTAATTTCTTCGAAGATCAAATCAGAACTTTTGAAAAAATTGTTCTAAATGGGATCACCCCTCGGGAGAAAATGCCTACCTTTCAGTGTGTATTGTTGATATGAAAATAAATACTAGTTATTGAAAGCCGACAGCCTTGCAAAGGCGGTTCAGGATATATTTAAGGCTCCTCCATTTGCTGATAATAAATCCAAGATTTGCTTCTTGAATTCAAGAGTAAGCTCGGCCGGAAATCGCTTCAGCAGTAATAAGGAGCCAATTATACAAGTCTGAAGCTTTTCTCAGAACCATCATACGCCTTTAATACCCGAGCTGTCTTTTGATACTCCTTTGAAGCGAGAAATACTTTCTCAAAAATTTGATATTTCCATATTTTTCGTCGCACACATTGCGGCTTGCCATAAAATGTTACTATATTTCTACAAAACTTGCTCTTGTGCTCCCACAGAAGCTTGCAATTTTTTTTAAATAAGTTTAGTCGGAACCACTTACTGCTCTTTGGTGATTTTTCCTTCTACTACAGATTATGCTCTTTTCTAATTGAAGTTTCCACTCTCTCAGAAATGTGATTACAAAATTCTGTAGCCTTGCTTGTCGGGCGCTTTCAACAAATTCTTATATGAATACTATTTTCACACACTGTGCAATATTCATCCAAACCATTGAAAGCTTCTTGTATTGTCTGATGAAAGAAATCTTAGTTTCTCATATGTTTATTTCAAACAAGTTTGGCAAAGTCCAGTTAGAGGCAGATTGAAAGGCTTTCGTTTAAGAACAAATGACATTAAACCAGCTCTTATGGCTAAAACATTTGGAAAACTTTCTAATTTTGGGGTTAAATATACAATAGTACAGGTGTGGGATGTAATTGAAAAACCAAGCTAGCGAACTTTTTATATAGGAATGGGCATTGAGGTATTTAGACAACTCTATAGTTTTTGAAAATTGCGATTAAAAAACTTATATGCCATTAGATCAGTCTGCTTCAGTCTGCCGTAGGGTGTGTGACTTTACTGGAGTTGTTTTGCAGCGCTTAAATGTAGGCAACGTTATTTTTTGGGGGATGGGGCCATGTGTAGAAGTTCACGAAAGTGAGGAAAATTTTTGACTGCCATTGACCTGAGAGTGGCCAGAAATGATTCTTTTGGACCACTTCGGGTTTTAGGTCAAGTAACCCCTTGGTAGCCAACAAACATTCATTCGGAGGCGAGCAAAAGTCAGAAGCCGAATCCCATGAGGTTGAGCGTAGGGCTTAGCACCCACCTCATGAAAAATAAACTCCAATGAATAATTGTATTTTTTGGGCATGCACCTGGAATGTCCGGCGCCTTAAATATACTTATAAATGCGGCCCCGTCACCATGTCAAAATTATGCTTGGCGACTTCGATGCCTTGATGGGCAAAGGAAGTATCTTCGCCACAACGATCGGTGAATTCAGCCTCCATGACGAAACATCCCCAAATGGGTTGAGGCTGATCGACTTCGCCGGGGCCCGAAATATGGATGTCTGTAGCGCTAGATTCCAGATCAAGAAAATTTATTAAGCTATTGTACTTGGCTGTCTCCGTGTCGCAACAAAGATACGCATGCGCCTCTGAGTATCAAACAGCGCCCATCAACAAACACAAGAAAGGTTCGACGTCGAAAAGCTGCAATCACAATGGTCAAAGCTGCAATCGCCGAACGATTTTCTACTCAGCATGCACAACTGCTTTCTGAGAGCACTCATCAGTATATTGATATAAGGGAACTGTGGAGAGGCATCTCAAACCGTACCGCCGCTACGGAAACAATTGATTCTCGGTAGTGCTAGAATAAAAGCTGGTACGATGAGGAATGTCGAACTGTAGTGAAGAGAAAATAGAGCTGAGAAAGTGCATATACATTAGCTTGTTTACAAAACATGGTCCGATTAAAGCATGCCCGACGATTGGAACCTAAGTGTGCTCTGCCGAATCCACAAAAAGGGGGATCCCTGAGTCTGCGCCAACTATCGAGAGTTTTGTTTGAAAGGCTAAAGCACACAGTAAACAAACTGATTGCACCTTATCAGTGTGGCTTTAGAACTGGTAATTCAACCATTGATCAGATATTTATCATGCGCCAAGACAAAGACCCGTGAAAAGGGGCTGACCTTCGCCAGCACGAAAAGAAGCTACATTTACCATGTCTGAATTTGATGTCCCCGCAAAACTTATACGGCTGTGTAAGCTGACGCGCAGTAAGAATTGAGAAGGACCTCTACGAGCTGTTCGGTACCAAACGAGGTTTCCGACATGGTGACTCTTTGTCGTGTGAATTCTTCAATTTTATGCTGGACAGAATAATAAGAACAGCAGAGCTAAATAAAGAAGGTATAATCTTCTATAAGAGTGTAAAACTACAGGCATACGCCGCTGATATTGACATTATCGGCCTCAACAGCCGTTAGTTCTGCTTTCTTCAGGCTTGATAAAGAAGTGAAACTAAGGGGTCTGGTAGTGAATGCATGGCAAGATGAAATATCTCCTGTCATCAAACAAATAGTCGTCGTATTCGCTACTCGGCTCCCACGTCACTGTTGACAGTCATAACTTTGAAGTCGTAGATAACTTCGTCTATTTAGGAGCCAGTGTTAAACCAACAACAACGTCAGCCTAGAAATCCAACGCAGAATGACTCGGCTTTTGGAGTCTTCTAGAGAAAAGTTTTGCGAACGATGTATGGTCCTTTACGCTGATGAACTGGACGAGTTAAACTATGACATTGACATAGCTCAGCGAATGAAGAGACAGGGGCTAGTCTGGCTAGGTCATGTCATCCGAATGGATGGAAGCACTCCACGTTTGAAAGTAAAGCGATGCAGTAGCCGCTGGTGGAAGCAGGGGAAGAGGAAGACCACTCCACTCCACTCCACTAAAAGGATCAGGTGGAGAGTGCCGTAACCTCACTTGGTACTTCAACTGGCACCAAACAGCACAAAAAAGGGATGAATCACTTGCACTTGATTCGGCTATAATCGCGTAAGCGCCAATAAAGAAGCAGAAGAAAGAAGAACGTTATTTTACTAAGATGTTGCCTGTATACCGGCCTTTACTTTCGACATACAAACAACAAACCAATTTTTAGATTTCGAAGTTAATAAAAAATCTCAAAATTTTCTATAAACAGAAAGAGTATTTTTTTATATATTTATTTATAAACACATTTTAACTTAATACTACCAACTGATAAACTACATAATACTCGCAAAAAATGTATGAAATTAATAATGCCTGCCCAAAAAGCAAGCAAAAAGGAACGACGTGAACGTCAAAAAGTGTGCAAATATGTGTATGAGTTAGTAAAAAGAATACATAATAATGGTTTCCTTTCTAAGGCAATGCAAAGAACCACGTCAATATATCGACAATACGCTGCCAAAGGCGACGAAACAATTCTCATGCTAATTCCACCACATTCGCAGCGGTCTCTGCTGTTGTATCCACTAAATCGAACTCTGATGTGGTGGGCGGATTGGCGGTGCTTGTGGCTGTGGCGATGATTTTCTTTAAAATTATAGCACCTTCGGCGGTATCCTCATTATCCTGCTTATTTATTTTATTGGCATTGTTGTTGTTGTTGTTATTGTTGTTGTTGCTGACGGAATTATCACCGAAATTTATTGTCGTGCCATAACTTGAAGCGACCTCTGGGCAATTATCTTGATCAGCAATCAATAGGAAAGATTGTGGTAAATTATTATCGTCCATAATTTTTTTCGCCGCACTGACCGTCTCAGCGGAGGGTTTGCGTTCGCGAGTCAAAATCCAGAGAAGTTCTGTGTAGGTAGAGGAAAGAGTTGAAATTTAATAAAAAAAAATATGATATTACTGTGTATTGATATATGTATGTATATATGTATAACTTGCAGGAATAATGTTTCTGCTTAATTTTTTCTAAGTTAAAAAATCATAAATAATAAAAATAATAATTTGAATAAAAATTTGATCTTTTCAGTTATTATCTTTCTTTCCTTTAATTTCGCAATTTGCTGTTATATATATACTTGGCGTATCGTATATAGATACTTAAGGGAATACGGAAAAGTTTTAAACAAACAAAAGATTGCGCATTTATCGGCAGTTGACTTTAATTAGAAAATCATCGTCTTTTGTATATCTGAGTCACGTATGAATACCGCTCCCCCATAAGCTCATATACACTATATATGTATGTGGGTGCTTACGCACTTATTTGTTGTATTTAAGGTATGTCTGTCTGCATAAATTAATTATGGCTCGCTTTAATTTATTTACGATGAGCATAATTGCTTTGTGTATTGCATAATAATTGTTTTATTCTCGCTTCTAATAATTTTTTTCTACTACCACAAACAAAGCGATTATCGGATGTTTGTTTTTATGAATTAATTTATGTGCATATGAAAAATAAATTTTTTAGAGACAAAATAAAAAATGTTAGTTTTAGATAAATGTCTCTTTTAAGAATTATTAGTATTTCTTTCTTTTTTAAATTTTTTTTTGGTTGTTTTAAAGTTAAAATGAATTTTTTTTGAAAAATTTAAGGCATAAATAGTTATTTATTTTCTCATATATTTTCTATACAAAATTTATTTCTATAAAATTTATTTCGAATTTATTAAAAATCTGTCAGTACATTTTTATTAATTTTAAAAGTATTTATGTTGATTAAATTTCGAAATAACTTAAAAAAATATTTATTTTCAGATTATTTTCATTTACAATTTTTTAGAAAATTGTTTAAAACGTTATTCTTATTTGTAACAATTTTTTTCAAATAAATTTTTTTAAATTTAAGTTTTAAATATTTTTGAAGATTTTTATTAATTTTTTTCATTTTTAATATTTATTAATTAATTACTATCTACTCTCAACTTACTTGTATGTGCAAACGAAGTGAGATTATTACAGCTGTAGACCACACTATAGGACTTGTAGTCGGTGCCGAGTACAATATAATTCGGCGTATCAACGGGATTTGCTGGTAAATTCACAAAGAAATGGCATTACACCGATATAATTATTTCAAGAATTAGAAAATAGCGCATTCAAGGTAACTTACGATATTTGCTGAAGAGCACATTAATCTGAGATGGTGCCAACATTCTTGCAACACCAGTAGTGTTGGTCGTGTGGCCGGTTCTGAAAAATGAAAATATTTTCAATTATTACTTATTATATACTATGCTTTTGAATAAATGTAACTTTCGACAACTAATCTCCAAACTTACAGCGTATTTATCGATGTATTTATCACACCAATAGTGTTGTTGCCCTTGTTGGTGTAGCGGGCAAACATGCAACGTTTGGCAATCTCAAAGATGTGCGGATATTTGGCGTACTCATACCAAGTGCCCATATACTGAACGATTGAATAATATAACATTATAAAAATACACAAATAAAAAATTTAAAAATTCAAACAAATTAAATAGTTATAAATTAAATTATTTTAAATGAAATTAATAATAATAACATGTATTTAAAAAATGAGTAATAGGAAATTAATTAAAACTATAAAAGTGAAATTGGGTTTAATTTAATTTAATAAAATTTTACAAACAAAAAGCAAGAAATTCAGAAATATAAACTAAAATAAAATAAAAATAAATAAAATAGAACAAGTTAACAAAGAATATTATTTTTAAATATATTAATATTGAGTTTTGAAATAATTATTAAAACAATTAATACTTAAAACTATATTTATAATATAATTTAAGTTACCATTTTTATCGAAATTGCTTAAAAAATTTCGGATTATTATTGTTTAAGCCTACACTTAACAGGACGCCTACCTAATATTTTGTGCACGCCCTAATGCGCCTTTGGCCTCTATATAAGCCGTGGTTGCCAAACAAACAAGCGAGCTTTCTTGCTAACTATTGGCAAGCGACAGTATTTCAAATATAATAAAATAATATATAAATGTCATAAAATACATAAATAGTAAAAAATAGATATGTTTATTTTGTAATTAATTAAAATAAACATTTATACGCAAAGTGCAATTTATAAATATTATTTTAATTAATTTAAAAAAAAAACCTTGTACACAAATCAAATCGAGTTTGCGAGTGACCTTTTATTTCGCAAGAACTCGATGAAGATACCTCGCGTAAATATTATTTATTATAATTTTTTTTTTTCAAAACTATATTTATAAGCCTAAATGTTTAAATATATTTAAAAAAAATATTATATTTTATGCACATTACTAAATTGATTTATTTAATTTATTAGAATTAATTAAAATAAAATAATAAATTAATAAAATAAAATGAAGTGAAATTAAATGTTATAAAATAAAAATTAAACTGTTTAAAAAATAATAATATAAAACTATTTACTAAAAATTGAAATGAAATAAAAGAAAATACATAGTTATAATATACAGTATATATGTAAATGAAAATAAATTAAAAGAGTTGAATGAGTTAAAAAATATAAAGAAATATTAAGAAAACTAAAAATAATTAAATTAAGAAAAAAGAATTAAATAAAAAAATATATCGTAATAAAGTCAAATCATTAATAAACAAGAAAAAAAAACACTTATAACATACCGCATCGGCGGTAAACTCCGAAGGCACCTTCACTTCTGGGCAATTGCGTGGGAAAGGTACTTGCGCTGCAGTCAATTGACATATTAAAAGCAAAATTGCCGAGCATGCGCTGGAAAAGTTGGTAAATGGTTGTAATGTAAATGAAGTTAAAAGATTTTAAAATAATTAAAAATGACAAAAGTAATGCATGTTTTGGACTAATATGCCACTCAACTCTCCATGAGTGGAAATTCATTAAAATAATTATATAGCGATCATAGCGAAAGAGCACAAAAATATAACAACTAATAAATGCCCAAAGCAAAACTACCCATAATTGCAGAGTTCAATGATATTTGTCTGGCAGAGCGGAATACTACATAGTTAAAATTCTAGTCAGAATTCTAGTCAGAGAGTATTCTATACAGAAAAAAGAATGCAAGCTTGAGAGTTGATTCAACGCGCATCGTAATACACTCTAATCTTAACGCCTTGCATGGTTTAACGGCTGTAGATACTGAACGTAAGCCTATGGCAGAAAAAGTTAGGGCGAGCTCAAAAGTTTGGGATCGTCTAGAGTTATACATGTTGTACGTGAGCGGCTCGGCTTTATTTTCAACTGCCTGAATTGCTGCATTTCTGTTCACATGGCGAGTGAAACTCTTTCATAAATATCCCATAATTGGTGGATCGTGACTTGATGGCAGTTTCGTCCTGGTAGTCTTGTATCTTGAGCTATCGGTAGGCTTCCGAAACATTGCATTATTTTCCGAACGAATGTTGTCCCTCTTAAGGAAGCGGTAGATACACAACTTCGGAGCCTAATTTCGTCAAGACGAGTTACTACAAAAATTGATGAGTCTGCACGTAGGTACTCTATATCAATAAGCTTTTGTTCTACTGAACAAAACTAGTTCAGCGCGCGTTGGTCTAGTGCGGTCTCAAGATCCTTCTGGCCGAAAGTGGAATTGCGAAAGTGATTATCGTTTTGAAGTTATAGTTCTCACACAGGGTTTGCTTTGTCCAATTGGAATCCACGCAGGAATTAGGATTTATCTATACCCTGCGTTCTCGACGCTGGCAATGAAAGTTCTCGCCCGGGGGAGATAAGAGATGATGACGTTAGACACATTTACAGATTTCTGATTTATGCACAAAGCGGTTTACTAAGAGAAGAACGTCGGTAGGAGTTATTCGTTCTGGGCAAAATCCTTTTTACAATATATCAGCCATTTCAACCTAGCCAAACCTACTCAAACACTTCAGACATTCTAGCTCGGCTCTGCGTTCTACAATATAAGTGCGATTACATTACGCTGAATGGCGTTAGGAGGATGAAATTTTTTGCTAAATAAGATATCCAAAGAAGTTCATCACTTATCTCAGTGCTTGAGCGCATTTCAAGAAGGGACACCAGTTAAGAGAAAATACATATTTTCCCCGAAAAGGCGAAAAAGCAAGTCAGACAGCTGAAAATATGAAAAGCGTTTCTCCGGTTTCGTTCCAGCAATTTTGATGAAAGGTAGATGCTGAAATTGTCGAGTCTGACCATTATGCAAGCACTGCTTTGGTTTCCGGGAAGCTAAGCCTTGCAAAAAGAACCTGTTTGAAACCACTTGAAATGGCCGGATACACAATGAAGCACGGTATATTGGTGGAGTTATCGAGAAACAACCTCACAGATCGATTTTCCATCTTTGAATCGCTGCTGAATCGAAACAGTTGGTGACTGGTGATGAAAAATGGAAAACTTTCAGTAACGTCTAACGAAACCCATTGGGGTCGAAGGGCAGTGAGCCGGCATAGGTAATATATTGTTGTATGTTTGATGAGGCTGATGGGTGGTAGATAATTTCGTCTATTTAGGAACAAGTATTAACACCAAGAACAATGTCTGCCTGGAAATCCAACGCAGAATCACTCTTTCCAACAGGTGCCATTTTGGATTGAGTAGGCAATGAAAAAGTAAAGTCCTATCTTGGCGAACTAAAACCAAACTTTACAAGGCCTGCTATATGATGCGAAGGCATGGACGATTTCAATAGCTTATGAGTTCGCGTTAGGAGTTTTTGAGAGAAAGGTTTTGCGTAAGATTTATGGTCCTTTGCGCGTCTCAAACGGCGAATACCGCAGACATTGGAACGATGAGCTGTACTAGTTATACGGCGGCATTGATATAGCTCAGCGAATCAAGTAGCAGCGGCTATGCTGGCTATGTCATGTGGTCCGGCTGGATGCGAATACTCCAGCTTTGAAAGTATTCGATGCAGTACCCGCCGGTGGAAGCAGAGGAAGAGGAAGACATCCACTTCGTTGGAAAGACTAGGTAAAGAAGGACCTAGCTGCAAGTGGTATTTCCAATTGGCGCCAAACAGCAAAGAGAATAAACGACTCAAGCAATGTTGTTAACTCGGTGCGGTGTTTACGCCAGTAAAGTAAGTAAGTTTGGTCATCCACTATAAGCTGCACCCTTAAAGCCAAACTATTAATTCGGACCTTCACTGTCGGCGATTAAACCGTCTGGAGGAAGCTATTGCCCAAAGCGCCAAGCATTGGCCACCAGGAGAGGAATTGTGTTTCATCAGGACAATGCCAAATCACGCATTGGTAGTGACTCATCCGAAACTCTGAGATCCTGTTGGGGAGGTTCTTATGTGTGCACTTTATGCCCTGGACCACGCTGACCAACTGATTACCATTTATTCCTGTCTATGACGAATAGTTTGGCTGGTGGCCTCAAGACAAGGCTGTGAATATCGATTGTCCTAATTTATTGGTAATAAGTAAGAGGAGTCTATGAGGGACATATAATGACATTACTCTCAAAATGGCGAAAAGTTATCGAGCAAATCGGTGCATATTTCACACATTAAATTGGGTAACTCCTACTATGGCAAATAAATGTTTGAATTTAATGGAAGAATAATGGATTACGGGATTTAATATTAAAATAAATAATTAGACAATTTTAAACTCACCTGATGCCTAATTGAGAACTCATTCTAGCTATTTATTTGCAATTTTTGTTGTTTAGACTTTTCAGAAAGATTTTTAGAAAATTTTAGTTTTATTTTTATATATTTATATATTTTTTATTTATTTATTTATAATTTTTTTTCATATAAATTTACACAATTCCCCAGCGAAATTTGTTATCCTTTAAGCACGAAAATATTTATTTGAATTACATTAATTTTTCAACACTTTTCACACATAAATCTCGCTTCGCTTCGCTGTTCACTATTTAGTTTTCGTACAAATTAAATACTTGAGCGCGCATACACTGCCGGAAATCAACTGAAAGCTCATCATTCGGTATGCGCATAATTTATAGTAACATCCAATAAAATAACAACAACAACCACAACAACTGAAAATGTGCCCGATATGTCTAACAGCGACGTAACGTCAATAGAATTGATTATTTATTTTGATACATAATGAATGAAATGGAAAAAGAAGAGAAAAATTAATAAAAAAAAATGTTAAAAAAGAACAAAGTTTTTATATAAATAATTTGTAAAGAACACTAAGCTATCAATGGGCACTATCTCACTTTCTATTTACTCATTTTACGTATTTTTATAAATAATTATGCAAAAATATAAAAAATATAAGCAAACTGCATATATGCATGCATTCATGTGTGCAGTTTCACTTTATGTTTTTTTATGATGGGATTAAGCCAACAAAGCAGTCATTTGTGGAAATAAGCTTCAAAGGAATATTTTGTTATGCTACGTTTCGCACATTCAGTGATTGAATAATTGTTTTTCGTTTTTTTTTCTTTTTTTTTTGCATTTTTCCATGGCAATAATAATAAATTAACAGTTAAATTAGTGATAAAAATCAATTACATGACAAAATGTCACATAATAAATCTACTTTATATTCACATGTTTTAAGCCAATAAGCAATAATAGAGAGCACTCAAAAATTGTTTCGCAAAAAAACCGTAATTAATATATTTATTTGGTTGTATTATGAAGTTACACTCGACTGTTATTTTTTTTTCTAATTACTTTGAGAGGTGTTGGCAATTATTGTAATCTTAGAATGTCTGTTTTGGCAAAATTAGTTTGCGAAATAACAATAATAGACAGATGTTTTTGTTTTTTTCTCAAAACGTTGCCTGGTAGTGGGGCAAGTGGGGTACCATTTCCCAGCGCATAAGTGAAAAAGTTGTGCGGCAAGTTTTTTTTTTTTTTGATATTTTTAAATAAATTATTTTTCTTTTAATTTTTTTTTATGTAATTTTTATATATTATTATTATATTTTGAATATTTTTCCTACATTTTATACTAGGCCGCTTCCGAACAACTGATGGTTTTTAGCAGGAGCTTTCATTTAATGTCAGATATACACTCAGAGAGCTTGGCATTCCTTTCAATTGGAAAAATTAAGTTAATTTTTGTTTTAAATTGATTTTCCTTAATTTCTAGATGTTGGCCGTCCAGGTCTCGAACCCTGGAAATCCAAATGCCAGTATACAATCCTAACCACTGAGCTATCACGGCCGCCATATGTAATTTTAAGTTAATTTAATTTTATTAATTACAATAATTTCGTATATTTTATTAATGCTATATAATAAAAGTTCCTTAATTTACTTACTGTTAAAAATAATTTTATTATATTAAATAATATTCTTCTTCGTTATTGGTTTATAGCCGAATTATTTATAGCACGCCTTTCCTCTCTACTTTTCGCTGTCTGACACGCCAGTTGGCAATACCAAGTGAGGCCAGGTCACTCTACACCTGGTTCTTGCAAACGGAATGGAGGTCTGCCTCTTGCTCTGCTTCCACCGGCGGGTACTGCATCGAATACTTTCATAGCTGGACTGTTTTTATCCATTCGGAGTACATGAACTAGCCAGCGTAGCTGCTGCTTCTTGATTCGCTGACCTATAGCAATATTTGCGGGTTACGCCATTACCAATGTACAAAGGACCATAAATCCTTTGCTTTCTCTCAAATACTCACAAATAATATTAGGATAAATAAAATAAGGCAAGGCAATGCATTCGACTTAAAAGAATAGTGTAGCTTGCTACGAAAATTTAACGAAAAGATTATGATTTTCTAAGCTCCCTCACACTCCCGCAAGAAATATTATTTTCAAAACCATTTTTTTATGTTTACAAGTACAAGCATTTAATTTAATTTTTTTCAAATAAGCTATGCCATTTACAAATCTGAATGATTTTCCAGTATTCTTTTCGAAGTTCGTGCCAATTAATTGATCATCCTTAACAATCGGTTTGATCGGTCACAATCAATGGTGCCAGTGATACTTTATTCGCCACAAGAACATCCTGGGCTGCCTTTACAATGTCTTCATCTGGATTGCGTTCGCGTGCAAGAATCCAGACATTTTCTGTAAAAAAAAAAAAAACGAAATAAAAGAAGTTATATATGAAAAGAGTGGCATTTTTTATAACTGAAAAACATGCGCAAGAAATTCAATTTTTTCCCCATTTAATGTATACGCCACACAGCAACGTTGCCAATTTTCAGTCAACTCTCATTTATTAAATAAATATTAATTTTTGGGTCATAAGTTTTTACGAATACCATTTGCTGCTTTCGATTTCTATTAGCAAACGTTGTCTGAAAAATAAATATTTTGCGCGAAGTTTTCATGTGGCAACTGCCACTACTTTTTCCTCGCAGTTGATACTTATTTAGTTAATCAATTTTGTTTTCAGCAAAAATTTATTATTATTTTGTTTGAAATTCGCTACTTTTTTATTTACAACGTTGGCTGCTTTCCACAAAATTTTAGATATTTTTTTTTTAATTTTATAAAATGTTTTATGTTTATTGGGTGAATTTTAGCTACTACAATTGTCTTTTATATACTATATTTACTTCAGTGCTTAGGCTTATGCACCCCGCTGGTAAAACTAACAAAAAAAATTTTCAATTTTGTTTACTATTATTATATATATTATTTTGCTCTCAATAATCTTCTAATTATGTAAAACAAAAACAATACGCGTCTCTACTGTATCACGTTTATAAGAGATGTTACGACTCTTTAGAAATATTTCCATATATGAAATTTGCTATTAAATGGTTGTCTCCTTATCTGCTGAGTTTCATCAAATTATTTAAAAAGAAAATTAAAATTTGTTAATTTTGAAACACCTCCACCTTAGGCACTTTTACAAATGTTTACTTTTTTTAAGATTAAACCGGTCATGAGCGAAGTTGCCACCATTCTCGAAATCAATAATTCCAATCTGCTCTGCTATTAATTAGTGTTTGCTCAGTATGATTTTGCATTTATTTAATTGGTGCTAAATACTAAACTTTAATAATTCACCATTTATGCAGCAATTATTTGAAATTAGATACTAAACGTAACGCCACTCAATTATGCAAATTACGTACATATATCTATTAACAATGTAGACAGCGTAGTGTTTTTTATCACATTTGGAGCGTAATGAAAAATTTACGAAGAAAAATGATAAAAAATTATTATTTTTAGTAGTTTAAGAAAAATTTATATCCAATATTCTGTTTTTGAAATATACCCAAACAATTCGTGTTTACATAAAAGATAGTATTCACTAGAAAAAATTAAATCCAATGTATTAAGCTTTAAATGGATAAAATATTAAAACATGCTTCATTTAGAGACGACAGTTTTCTGTGCAACAGATTTTTAAAACAATTTCAAAAAAACATTGTCTGCGCTTGAAACAATAAATTAAATAAATACATTCAACGCCGTAAATTTCAAACTGGGTGTGGGACTTTGATATAATTATCAAATACACCTAATTGTAGGCAATATTTGTATAGTTTGCGTTTTAAAGCGTTTCTCAGCCCAATTTAATATAACATTGCCTACATTTGAGATTTGACTTATTTATGAATTAAATTTTATCCAAATAATTTTTAAGGAAATTGTCAAAATTAAAAGTTATGTGGATAAATACAAATATCAAATTCACAAAAAAAAAACAAATTTAGAACTTGCCTCAGTTATGAACTATAAATCCAAAACTTTTCAGCCAAAACTTTTTTCAGTTCAAAGATCAGTGAAATATTATTAAGAATAATTTTGCAAAAGATTTAAATATGAACTTTTATTTTACATTAACTAAAGGCGTAAAGTTTATATTTAATACCTTCCTTGCCTATTTCATCATTTTCATTTCATTCACTATCCAATTTCCCCGAACAATAATCAGCCTTAGAAGAAATTTTGTGTAAACAAACTAATTGAATGCACTTGAAAAAAATTTATTGCACACAACAGCTTTATTGTAGTATTCTTGACCTACGCCTGCAGTTCTTTTTGAAAATGCCTTGTCATTGAAAATTCCAAGAACCCAAATTACTAAGTGAATGAATGTGCAGCGATATTTAATTGTTTTATCTTCTATATTTTGTACACTCTAGATTTTAATTGGTATTTACGCTAAATGTTCAACAGCGAGATTAGGGTGGACCTTTTTTGAGTACTTCAAGTAAAGAGTTAAGCTTTTTGAAAAATAAGAGTATGCATTTGAGTTATTTGGAAATCGAACTCAAGACGTATAAATTTTTCAAATTCTATTCTACTTGATATATGTGGGGTAGTAAAAAGTGATCCATTACTTTCATATTACTTTTTATCTGTATCTCACGTTGTATAAGTCCGATCGGATTCCGCTAGATGGCGTTAGAGAGATGACATTTCGTACTAAAAAAAACTTTTCTGACAGTTTTGTTCGTAGTTGATTCTGTTTGGTATTAGCGTGCGTCACGCTATATTTTACAGTATTTTCTTTATAAGAGCGCAAACTCAAACCAGGCGGCTGAAAATAACATTTTTGGTACCAATACTGCAACAACTGATCACGCCCAATTTTGAACTCGTCGATTCTGTGCCGGTGATTTTGATGTAAAAATGCTTCACGGAGTGAAAATCCAATTGACGAATATTTTTACAAAATCATGGACAATGTCGAGTACGACCGTCATGTAAGCACTGTTTCAATTGCCCGAAAGCCATTAATTTTTTTATTTGTTTTTTAAATTCACATTAAATTTTTAACCACCCTAATATGTGTCAGCACGAATCCAACATGTGTCTTACAACCGGCTTTCAGTTATGACACCACAGTTCAAATGTACATTTTTTTTGTTTATTATTTTCTTTTTTTTAGGAATAACAAATGTTTGCGTTCTTGCTGTTTTTGTTGCAAACCCAAAGTAAGTAGAATACTGTAATTATTATTATAACAACAATAAACTATTGAGAAAACAAGCGTAAAAACTACTTAAACACGCTTGAATCGCAGTACTTAGTAGAGAGCGACGCTAGAGAGATCTGCATAGCTGATTACGCTCACAGTGCACTCACTACATCCATACATAGCGCTTGTAACCCAGTGAACAGAAAGTTTTATGAGTGCAGAGCCACAAGTGAAGCAATTGTGGCCCTCTTTGCAATTGACCATGCCCATGGTTTGCTGTGCTGCCCCGTATGAGTGGCAGCTTGTTGTACACTGTCCGTCATTGTCTATTTGGCTAGCAGCGTGTGTGCTTTATTGAACTTTGCTAAAAACTAAATTAATTATTGCAATTCAGTGTAAGTGTAAATGTATGTCGCAGATTAAATTTAATGCCATTTGATTAAATAAAGGAAAATAAAATATTTGAAATATTAAATTCAAAAGCATTGAACGATCATCTGCGAACGGCTAAGTCAATACGAAAATTATTTAATTAGTCTGTTAGATAAGTTTGGCAGCGGCCGAGTGAACTCAAGAGAGAGAAAACAAATTGAGTATTCGTTAAGGAAGGAAATTAATTTCCTCCTAACTTGCGATTTAAGAGACAATAAAGTTCTTAGCACCGCTTTGGGTTTGTGTCTCTGATAAGTTTGGAAAATATGCTTACATATTGGCCACGTTTCAGATAGATGTATTTCTATGGCAATTTTCATAAATCAAATTTGCTCGAGTGAACCCTGAGCACAATTTCAATAAGAATATTTTTAAGGAATATCAGATAATCCCTATTTTCCTCTCAACATCACATATTTTCACTTCCAAAAGCAAACACTTACCTGAGCGAGCGAGCACTAAGTTCTTGCAGCTATAGACGACGGCGTAATTGGCATAATCGGTGCCCAAAACCCAGTAAGGGGCATCACCAGCGAGAGCTGCAATAAAAAAAGTAGAATGAAAAATTATTGACATTAAAAATTCACCATTTTTTGTAAGCTAAATGACTGAAAATAATAAAATAAAGAATGTCAATTCTACTTACATGCAAAACCATTGAAGCGCACAGATAATTTGCCTGGTCCAACAATTTTGGCAATGCCATCAATTGATGATTGAGTGTTACTTTATTTTAAAAAAGGAAAAGAATAAATATAAAAATGTATTCAAATAAAGTTTATAATATACTATAATTAATGCATACTCTCTGCCCGACAGTTGTGAGTTCACTACCGAAATAGTTTTGTTAGTTAAAGCTCCGTATTCAGCTTGCACGCAGCGACCGCCCGCTTCAAAGACGAAAGGATATTTCGAAATTTCATACCAAGTGCCCAAGTACTGCAAGAAGGATAATTGTTAAATTAATAAATATTATTGATTTTTCATTTGCTCCGTTTTATAATAAAAATAATTGTATAATTATTAAAAAAAAATGAAATTCGAAAAAATTGGAAATTTAAAAACTTAAAATATTTTATTGTATGATTAAAATCAAACAGAAACAAAATAAAATAAAATGCATTTAAAAAAATTAAAATAATTAAAAAAAGTTAAATCAAATTAAATAAGAATAAATAAATCTAAAAAACTATAAAGAAAAGTAAAGTAAAAAGCAAAAAAAAGTTATCTAGAAAACGTAAAATAATATGAATAATAAAATAAAAAATAATTAAAAATAAAATAAAATATAATATAATTAGGCAAAAAATATGAGAACTAAAAAAGTTAAATAAAATAGCATACAAAACAGGATAAAATAATAAAAAATGAAAACAAATAATATAAAAAAATAATATAAAATGCAGTAAAGTAAAAAAAAACTTATAAATTAAACTAAAATAAAGAAAATAAAAAAATAAAAGAAAAGAAAATAGAGTGAAACAAACCACTCAATTAAATTAAATTTTGTTAAATTGAATATTATTTACTAAAAAAAAAAATAAATAAATAAAGATATAAAATCAAGTTTTATAAAATAAAAAAAAAACATAAGATAAAGTAAAAAATAAATGAATTTAAATAAAAGAAAAAAGATTTAAATGAAATAAAATAATTTCATTAATTATTGTTAAGCGATCAGTTCAAGTAATTTAGATGTTTTTATTATTTAATTAGGCTTAACTCTTCTGGTTTGCTTAGTGCAAATAAAACTAATTTATCCACTGTTTGCTCAAAGTTTAGCTTAATATTTTATCATCTCCAGAAGCTTTGATATCAAAAAGCTTGTAATTATCTAATATGCAATGTCTTTAGCATATACATTATTACCATAATGTTTGGTAGCTAAATTTCAAATAAAGTTAAATGAAATTGAAGTGAATAAAACAAAATAATATAAAATAAAATAAACGAAAATATAAAAAAAATAATTAAATTATATACAATTAATACAAATGAAATAATAAATAAAAGAATAAGATAAAATATAATAAAATATAAAATAATTAGAAAAAAAAACATAAGATAAAATAATAAAAAAAAAATTAAAATAAAATAACATAAAAAAAAAAAAAATTTTCAATTAAAGTAAAATAAAATTGAAATGAAAAAACCAAAATAATATAAAATTAAATAAACTAAAATAAAAAAACAAAATTAATTTAAATATAACTAATTAAAAGGAAATAAAAAATTAGAGAATAAGATAAATTATAATGAAATATAAAATAATAAGAAGAAAAAACATGAGATAAAATAATACAAAATTAATTAAAATAAAACAACAGAAAAAAGATTAAAATAATATAAAATTATTTAAAATAAAGTATAATGAGATTGAAGTGAATAAACCAAAATAATATAAAATAAAATAAAAAAATGAATTTAAATTATATTTAATTAATAAAAGGAAAATAAAAAATAAGAGAAAAGGATAAAATATAATGAAACTAAATAAGCTTGATTAATAAAAAATTTAATTATGTTAAATTAAATAAATATAAACAAATAAAAGAAAATAAAAGACATAAAAATATAAAATTAAGCTATATAAAATAATTAAAACAAAAACTTAAATAAAATAAAACAAAGGATTTTACCGAAATAAAATTTCTTTAACCAAAATGAAAATAAAACATATTGCTAAGAAGCAATGAAAATATATGAAAATTAAAATTAGAATAAATATAACAAAACTTCAAATTACAAACTAATTTAATTCAATTAAAAAAAATCAGTAAATAGAATTTAAGCAAATTAAAATAAAATACTGGCTGGTATTTGGGCCAATGTTTATATATTTATAAGGTAGTGTATAATGAGCTTCAGTTTTTTAGAAAAAAAATTAAAATAAAATAAAATTAAGTTAAATTAAATTTAAACAAAAAAAAATAAATAAAACAAAAAATGGAATAAATTCAAATAAGATAAAACAGTTAAATAAGTTAAACCAAATCAATCTGAAAACAAATTATATTTAATTAGCTTAAAAAATCTAATCAAACAAATAAATAAAATAGTTAAATAAAAATCATAATAATATAATAAGTAAATTAAAATTAAAAAATTTAATCAAATTAAATTTAATGAAAAATATCTATAAAAAAGCATACAAGAATTACGAAATTATTTAATCTAATTTTCTTGAAATTAAGTACAAAAAAAAAAATTAAATAAAATAAAAAATTGTGACAGATAACATGAAATAATTTGAAAATAAAATAGTATAAAAAGTTTATATATCTACAACTTTTCGCATACAAATTTTAGCTTAAAGATTTAATTTCTGTTTTTTTTTAAATTCAATATAACATGTATATGTTTATATAAATAAAGCAATATAATTTTAAGTAGTTTTTAATTTATATGTAAATATGCGCGTTTTTTAGTACATAAAACTTACCGATCCGACATCAAAATCCTGAACAGTTTTGATATTGCGTGGGCACAAGCCAAAGCTTACGACCTGACCAGCAACAATATTGGCCGAGACCAAAACAAATAAAGCGCTAAAGTAGAGAAACAAGATGCAAATAAATATAAATGAAAACAAATAACGCACTTTTAATTGTTTAAATAAATTTTAGTAACAAGTTGAGATCATAAACAAATTATTAAAATATCAAAATATTTACATATTTAAAAAAAAAAATAATAAAAAACATTGTTTTATATAATAAAAAAGTAAAATTTTAGCTAAAACAAATATTTAAATTATATTTAGTTTATTTTTTGAAACTTACCAAATCATGTGTAATTTTTGCATTTTGTTGCGTGTTAATTATTTATGTTCCTTAACTAATTCGTCGTGAAAAACACTACCGCCGCTAAGAACGCTCCAAGTGGATATGACTAACGTATTAAGGTGTTTGGTATTAACTTGACTTGACGTTCAATTTTTATAGCATTTACTTTACTTTAGCCGGTTTTTGTACCGGCAATTATACATGTAGATATGTCACAACATGCCGGCTAACAATAGCACAAACACGCATTTAGACGTAGACGCTCTTTATCTAATCTGTGTATAGTGTTATGCCAATATTTACTAACAAACATACATTCATAGATATGCTCATTTGTTCATGAAATTATTTTTATCATTTTTTTTTTTATCATTTTAATATGTATTTTTGTTTTTGATTGTTATTGTAAGTTTTCCTCTCATACTTTCAAAGTGCAATGTTCTCAAACTTTATCAGTAAGAAGTTTTAGTTTGATTTATAGGAAAAATACATAATTATTTGATAAAACATTATATATTTAAATATTGTAATTCATTTAACTAAAAATTATCAACTTACACAGAAAGACCTTATCTTGAAATTTTGCTCATTTTTTTTTCTTAAAAAATATATTTTGGATTTATTTTTTTAATTTCAACTTAGCTGTTTTTGCTTGAGGGAACCATCTGGAAGTTTTCTGTAAAACGCTCAACAGTAGAATATCACCATTAAGACACTACAAATTACCGCGCAGATAATTCCTTCAACATGGCCCGAATTTTCTAGAAAATAGTCGCGCTATAAATAAAAAAAATCTTACGTTTAAACTCATTGGACATTCACAATTCCAGGCCTGATTTTAACGTTCTCTTGAGTTAAAAAAATCCATGAACCCCTTGACCAAAATCTTTTCTTTAAAAATCTGTCATGGTTGCAACTCTAATAATTACTTTATTAATCCCAGATTTATTTGAAGCGGCGGTGGTAGAAAAACTTATTTAGTGCTTACCACTTCCTGGAAGTATGCTTGATAATTCATGTATCAGGTGCACAACTTTGCTTCCGCCGTTTTTTCCAAAATTAAAAGCTTTATTGCGAAAAAGTGCTTCCAGATATATTATTCAAATAATTGTCCTTCGCTAGCGCCAACTTTCTCCCACCTCCCTGGCAATTTTCGGAGCCCGTCTCGAAAAAAGGAGTCCTCTTTTGACGCTGTCCATGAAGCAATCCATTTTTCCAATTCTTCGAAGGATTGAAAATGCTGATCTGCCAGGCCGTGTGTCATCGTACGGCATAGGTGGATTTCAGAAGGGGCGACATCTGGGGAATACGGCGGGTGGGGCAAGACTTCCCATTTCAGCGTTTTTAGGTACTTTTTGACCACTTTTGCGACGTGAGGCCGAGCATTGTCGTGTTGGAGGATGACTTTGTCATGTCGCTTTTGATATTGTGGCTGCTTTTCTTTTAGCGCGCGACTAAGGTGCATCAGTTGCGCCCGGTAGCGATCTTCTGTGATGGTTTCACCCGAGGCATTATCATCTATGTATTTCAACCAGCCTCAGCCGGTACAGCCACCTATCGAAAAACGGCGGAAGCAAAGTTGTACACCTGATAAAAACACCCTTTCGAACCATAAATTTGATATTTTCACATAAGTCCCTGGTCTGTAAATATAAACAGGCGCTTTGTAACCGCTGAAGCGATTTCCGGCCGAGCTCCACCTCTCATTTGTGGTTTTACGTCTTGATGTTTTTCCAAAAATGGCGGGACCTACAGTTTATACTAATCCGCCTTCGAACGGCTGATGGTTTTTTTATGAGGCGCTTTATTTCATGTGCGAAATACACTCGGAGGGGTGGACAAGTTCATGGTCTACTTCCCGAAAAAAAGTTGCCGGACAAAGCTTTCCCCGAATTAAGGAAACAATTTAACAAAACTTGAAGTCAGTCTGTCTTGTGACTTTTGGAGATAAATATGTATAGGTTTGTGGGATCCCTTGAGGTCTACCGAATAACTGACAGTAATTTTCGGTCACCAATGTAAGGCAGTACTGCTTAAGAGCTTCGTCACTCTGCCATTCGTACGAGATTTTGTATATAATACATATATACATATATTTATCAAACTTTAATTATTCATTTGGGCAAAGTGGGAAGTGAACTGCTTCCTACTAAATCTCAACCACGCGTGGCAAAAGTCAGTGCCCATTTTTTTACATCCCTCAAAGCAACTCAGCAGCGTGTTTGAGAAGATTCAAAGCCAGCACCAAATTAATGAACTCGGTGTGGGAAAAAAGGCTGGTATTTTGGTGTCCATGGAGGGTCATACGAATACCTCGGCTTCCATTTGGAATAATGGCAATGATTTTTAGTTGCGTGCCATAAACTAAGAAAGGCATATCGAAAAGAGTGCCCTTAGAATAATTTCGATTATTATTTCTGCAGACTTATGTTGCGTAAGACTTTTATTAAACTATTGTAGATATGTTAGTTTATTTTTGAAATGGATGGAGTGATCTATATCTCGCGTTCTTTATTTTTTTACTTAAAAATATGATGCAAGGCGTGTTGAACAATTGAATCGGTAGTAATTGAGCACATTTCAAAGATGAACGATAATGGCGTAATCGCAAGTCAAACTGCTAAAGATATGAATAGTGTTTATGGTCCTCAAACCCAAACAGAAAATATGTACTACGTTGTGGAAGGCCAATTGACGTTTGTTTTTATGAAGTGCTTCTATTTCATGACATACATACACTAGGAGTGATTGATATTCCTTGCCTAGAGGTGATCGCCGTTAGAAAATTTATTTTCATTTTTTATTTAAATTAATTCCTATATTTGTTGTACCAAAATTTGAACCCTGGCCTTCCGAATGGCCGTACGCAATGCTAACCAGATACAGTTACATTATTAGAAATTTAAAATTTTATATAAAATTTTATCCAAAAAATTTTCAACAGGGTTCGCCCAGTGTAAATAAACTGCCTTATTTACGATCAGTTTAACACCACTACGTGTGGGTAATTGTTTAGAAGATAAGAAATAAAATTTTGTGTACACAAAAAAAAAAAATTGTTCGGCATAATAAATAATAGTTTTAACACTTGTTTTGCAAATTAACATTTGTTATTGTATTTTACAAATTAGTTTTAATTTTTTTTAGCTAAATATATTGAGAAAATATTATTGCTAGGAAAACCTAATGTCTTATTTGCAGCGTGAAAAAGATGCGGAAATTATAATTAGAAAATGCACAGTTTTGTTTGGTAAGACTCTTGTTTGTACAAGTGTGTTTTGCGTTATGAAAAACATGCATATTTGCTATTGTTGTTCGCAAGGAATTGTATTGTACTTCCTTTGTACAAATATGCATTGCTTACTCAACTGGCAACAACTGGTTGTGAGTCTTTATTGGATTTTTCTAAGCTAGAACCACAGTGGTATATTGCTTTACCGAGAGTGTCACGGAGGACTTTAGATGGCCTTTCTAGCTCTGACAACACAACTTCTCTAAGGGGTTACATAGGTCTTGAGGTCCAGAAAAATCTTATTTTCTCTAATTTTTTTTTTAAAGATACTAAATAAAGTATAAAATTTATTTTGCTTACATATAAAATTACAACATGTGGACAAAATTTGATGCAAATTTGAATTAAAAATAGCATAAGTTAAGGCGTTGGCATTGTCATGAAGTAGACCGTCCACAAGAAGGTGTTCTCGCCGTAGTCATGATAAATTTTTCAATTTTATCTGAAATCAAAAATCAAATTTTTTTTTCTTAAGTAGGTAAAGTTTCCTTATTCCTGAGCGAAGAAAAATTAAAAAAAATTAAAAATTGAATTTTTTGTTGCGTTTTTTTACAAAAAAATATAATTTTTTGCATCAAATTAGGCCACTTATTGGCTTGCAAAATGCGTTGAAATCAAAGATGAAATAAATTCTTCGTTTAGTGACTATAAAAACGTGCTTAAAAGAAGTGTGGAAAAGCTATGACAAAAACGGCGTGTTATATTTTCTACAGTCTTGTCTCGAACGACTTGGAACTTGGGGAAAATATTCCTGACACTTTGTACTTTTATACAAAAAATTATCAAAAAAAAAAAAATAATTTTTTGAAGCTTCAAGACCTACGTAACCCCTTAAACGATTGTCGGCCGAGCTTCTCCTCCAAATAGTTTTTAACTTGCCTTGCAACATTTGGCCGAGCGTTGTCATGATGAAAAATTATTGATTCGTATCTGGTCGCATATTCTGATCGTTTTTGCGCGAAGGCCTTTTTCAAACGAATCAATTGTTTTCGGTAGAGGTGCCCATTGAGCGTCTGATCCGATTTCAAAAGCTCATAAAAGAGCACACCGTTGTTGTCCCACCAAATATATAGCATAACCTTGTCACTATAGATATTCGGCTTTGCCGTGGATGTCGATGGTTGGCCGGGCTTCACATACGATCTCTTGCGCTTTGGGTTATCAAAATGAATCCATTTTTCATCGCCAGTGACAGTCCGGTGCAAAAATGACTAATTTTGGTGGCGTTGAATTAACATTTCCGACATGCAGAATCGACGATCGACGTATCTTGGCTTTAACTCATAAGGCACCCAATTTCTAAGTTTCTGGTTGAATCCTAATGATTTTAATTATCTGGAAACGGTTGCTTGATCAACTCCCAATACTTTTGCAAGGTCTTCTTGCGTCTGGCAAGCATCTGCTTCCAGCAATGTCTCCAATTCTTCGTCTTGAAATTTTTTTGGTGCAAACCAGTTCAGTAGAATATGATGGCTTTTGATCGCACTGTTCTTCATGTTAAAGTAAACAATTATAAAAATATATTTCAATTCTATTATTTTTGGATAGTGGCTTTACCAAAGTTCCTGCCCATGCCACTTAACATAGTAGTACACAGTACGAATCAGCCACATTTGACATGTCAACAGAAAAAAGTTTTAATTATTTTTATGCAAACTTTGAAAATGCTCAATCCTGGGCTTTTGTAATGATTTTGCTTTTAAGTCTAAAAAATTACGGTTTTCGCCTTAAAGGAATATGAGAATAACGAGAGAATTCTTCCTCTCATTCAGCTAATTACCAATGCAAAGCTGTGAATGAACGTTCACTACTACTCCTTTGGAGCTCCTTATAAATTAATTTTGTTACGATCAGCAAAGTTCACGTGGATCACTATATATATATTGCAAATCGGGCTCATATCGAGGGTTCTTTCAAAGGCCATAATGCAGCGTAATAATGTTAAAAAAATTTCCAAATATTTCTCCCAATTTCACATAAGATCACTTCTAACAGAGAAAGCTCTATCGACGGCCCAACAAAACTACATAAAATGCCCAGAGTACTCAATCGTCACATTCGTAACAAAGAGGGTGTTGCATTTCGGCACAAAAAATGTGGTGTAGTTTGCAAAACGGAATAAAGTTGTTGGAACTACAAACGAAATGGACATAACAATTTATTAAACCAGCTAAACCTTTAGTAACCAGACTTTACACCCCAATGATGAGTTTCCATAGTTGATAGACGTAAGTGGAGAAAAGAGTTGGCAGAAGCAAAAGCACGGTCTCAATCTATACCGATCGGTCTAAAATATACTTTTGACTGGGGGTGGCCTGGGGCTGGCAGTGTGGTAACCAATAATGATATCTAGAGTTGAATTCACGTCAACTGGAACATTATTGATGATGCAATAACTGACAAACTAGCCAACTCTTGTCCAAACTGAAGTGGAGTTAAACTCATGTCTTTAGCTAAATCAAATAACAAAGCAAATTTGTGCCAAGCGTGATAGGGCAAGAACTGATTACCTATTAAACAGGTACAGGAAAAGTATAATTAGATATAAAGCAATCATATTTGGTCGACAGTTCTTCGGATAGCATGCATCATGCAATCATCCAAATTAGTTTAACACATAAAAGCCATTGCTGCTGCTGCGAACTCGAAGGGATTAGAAAACTAAATATCAAAAAGTCGCCTCAGCACACTTGGAATACAACAGGTAGCAACCCTTGAATGGTTGTCTACAAAGAGCTCATCGGGTATATGTAGTTTGAGTGAGAAAGCTAGCAGTATCCCTACTTAAACCACAAAGCCGCCGCACTCTCCTATCTTCAATCCCCGACAAAATAGAAAAGCCTAAAAAATATTAAAAAAAAAAAACTGCCTGGAGGTATGGGAATAACTTGTGCACGTCAGAGAGGTTCTAAGCTGTAATCTTATCGAAAGGAAAAACAAAATTCTATATAAATTATGCCACTCGAAAATGTCACAAAAATTTTCATTTACACATTTTCGCAGTTAAAAAAAATTAGATACATTTTTATACAAGTACTTGTAAGATTTTATTTTCTAAACAACAATATTCACATATTTACTAAGGGATTAATTGTGTTTTAAAAATTTATAAAAATAATGTATAGGAAATCATTTTTGAAATTTGCCTTTATCCTTTTTCCTCTTATTCGCAATCAGTTTGATCGGTTACGATCAAAGGATCTAGAGATAGGCCATTGCTAATAAGTACATCCTCAGCATCAGTAACAACGTCTTCAGCTGGATCACTTTCACGTGTTAGAATCCAGACGTTCTCTGTAATTAATTTTTATTTTTTCATTTTTATAAATACACATTTGCTAAAGAGTGTGTGTCTTTGATATAATATGAGATCAAGCTTAATTGTAGGCAATGTTATATGTTACTTCAATTCAAGCTGAAGCATAGTCTACATTTAGGCTGTTTTATGGTGATTGGTAAGCTACTTAATTGCAGTAAGAAAGTACTTGATTTTTTTTGTAAATTATATTATTTAATATAGCATTACTTACTTGCGTGTGCATCAGCCAGATTTTTACAGCTGTAGACGACAGCATAGTTCTCATAATCGGTAGCCAAAACCCAGTAATCAGTGAGACCAAGAAGAGCTGAAATAACACCAAAACAACAAATAAAAATAATTCAACGAGCTCAAAATCCTTAAGTAGCTTTGGCGTTACCTGCAAGACCATTAAAGCGTACAGAGAGTTTGCCAGGACCTACAATTTTGGCAACGCCATCTGTGGATGTCTGAACATTGCTATAAATTCATTAAAAGTAAAAAATTTATAAAGGTAACATATGAAAACTGGCATACGTACAGTGATGAGAATTGTGTAGCGAGTACAGAAATCTTATTTTCAGATAGAGTTTCATAATCATGTTTGACACAACGACCATCAATTTCGTAGGCGAAAGGATATTTGGAATACTCGTACCAAGTGCCCAGGTACTAAAATTGATGTTGATTAAGAAAAATATAAACAAAATAATGAATCAATCACTTAATAATTCAAATAATAACTGCTTTCTAAACTTACTTACCGCTTCAATATCAAAGTTCTGCACAGTTTTTATATTACGTGGACATGGGCCCAAATTAACCCTTTGACCAGACACTACATTCATGTACACAAGGACGAATATTCCCCTGAAATGCAGTTAATTAATTAAGTAAAAATTATAGATATAAATTAAAAATTTTTTTTTTTTGTTTTTCAAATAGAAAATTATAAACCTGAGACATACAATATCAGTTGCTTCTGCATTTTGTCCTTTAAAAATGTTTCCAATAAATTATTTAGCTTTCCAACCAATCACCAATGCCGGCAAGAACTCTACTGAAGTTATTAGCTTCACTTTTATATCAATTCAGTTTAGCGGTATTTTCATATAAATTCATAAGGTAAATAAAGCTTGTTTTGTGGAAGCTAACAACGGCTTTTAAGGGCATTCAGTTTAGCGTTAAACCAATATTTATTTACAGGTTTACACAGCCACGCAATTGCAGCAAACGTTAGATATTATTTGCTATTACAAATAATTGATAAATGATGAATATAAAGATCAGTCTATCCTCAGAAAGTCGAGCTTTCTAGAAGTATTCAAGGTGAAAGGAGATTTTTCAAATATAAAGTAAATAAATTTATTTAAATGAAAATTAAATTTTAACTCCATTTTTTATTGAATTAAGTTCATTTCATTATCTCTTATTTGTTTATTCAATTAATCTTAATTTTACTTTCTTTATACTCCTTTACTTACTTTAATTTACCTTACTTTATTTAAATTTAGTTTTCTTCGCTAAAATAAATTATATTTAATTTCCTTTTATTTTATCGTTTATCTGTTTTTATTTTTTATTATTTTATTTTAGTTTACTTTAATTTATTTATTTCATTACATTTCATCTGGTTTAATTAAATTTTCTTAAAAATTATCATATTTTATTTTTATTATTTTATTCTATTTTATTTGATTCTACTTTGGTTCATTTTATTTTATTTATTTTATTTTATTTACATTATTCTTTTTACTTAATTTTATTTTATTTTATTTTATTTTATTTTATTTTATTTTATTTTATTTTATTTTATTTTATTTTATTTTATTTTATTTTATTTTATTTTATTTTATTTTATTTTATTTTATTTTATTTTATTTTATTTTATTTTAATTCATTTTATTTAATTAAATTTCTTTTATTTTATGTTACATTAGTTTTTTTTGGGTTTATTTTAAATAAATTTGTTTTGGTTTAATTTGTTCAATTTTATTTCATTTAATTTCATTTTTCTATCAAATAATATTTAATTTTATTTCATTTTAATTTGCTTTGTTCAATTGTATTTGATTCTATTTTGTTTTCTTTTTTATTTTATTTATATTTTATTATTATTTTATATTATTTTCTATTTTGTTTTATATTATTTCATTATTATATTTTTCATTTCATTTTATTTTCTCTTATTTTATTTTATTTTTATTTAATTTAGCTATATTTTTTATTAATATGTTTATATATTAAAATTTTATTTTTACTTAATTTAATTTAAATATATGCATTTTTATTTTTTATAATTTTAATTAATTAATGTTATATTAATTTGTTTTGGTTTAGATTTAAGTTATTTTATATTTTCTATTTTAATTTTATGTCCCTTTTTTTATCTAAATTATTTTCATTAAGAATAATTTTATTTAATAGTTTGTTTTACTTAATTTAATTTAAAATAATTTATTTTATTTTAGTTAAATTTAACCTTTGTTTATCTTTATAATAATTATTAATTTTTTATTTCAATATTTTATATTTTATTTCGTTTCATTTCATTTACTTACATAATTTTTAAACCCTTTGATAGACATTTCTTTGTGTTTTTTATTACAGTTTTCCTGAAAGTATGCAAACTATTGGTGTAATTGTGTTTGTCACTCCCACAGAGAACTGCTCTCACCCTACACACAAGCAAGCTGGTGACGAAACATTTTGCACTATGTTATCGACTTCATGATGCCTGGCGCCATCTGTTTGTGAAAGTTTAGCTATGCTTTCGTGTGGAAGGCATTCCACAAAGCATTTGCCTCTGACCATGGACATAGAATATGTAGGTATGTAAAGCATCAATGTATTGTGTATTTAAAAATCTTAGAGTTAGAAGAATTGAATGTATAATTAATAAAATTCTATTATTATTATTTGGCAATACAAACAACGGAATTATAAAACCTTTAATTTGTCACAGAAACGCTAAGCAAGAATTGCCTCTTCATTCCTTATTTCTGTAATGAAAATAAGCAAATTGAAGTGTTAATTCTACTTTACTGCAATATTTTGCACACATATTTTTTTAATTAGTTTTATCTCTTATTTGAAAAATTTATGTTCATCGTAAAATAACAAATTTATTGTAATATTCGAAAATGCGAGCGCCAACCTTTCATCTACGGAATGCGACTCTCTTAATAAAAACTCGGAAACCTTCCTCATCAAAGTCAGTCATACGAAAATCAGTCATAGTGAAAGTGAAAAAATGAAAGCTTCCAAGTGCTTAGTTCTCGCTGTCACATTATCACTACTGGTAACGGTAGCCGTTGGCCACTTCCATGTGGCTGATGAGTCCCAAGTGCACAACGAATTCGAATTCGAAACCGAAACCGAAACCGAAACTGAAAACGAATGGGAAGCAAATGAAAGCTATTCGGAATACGACACGGAAGCCGCACAAGGAAATCACACTGAAAAACTGTTGAGCGCACAAGCGAGAGCAACTCTGCCTTCATTCACAAGAAAATACATTGTCACATTGGTTAAGGTAGAGAAAAATTAATTTTTTTTTTTTTTAAATTTTTCAAACAGAAATTTTTGTTTGTTTCCCTCCTCATAACTGTAGTTGAATTGGTACGCCGCTAATGCGTTTTGTGAGCAAAATGGTTGGTCTCTCATTCACATCGAAACCGTGACGCAGCAATTTCAGACTTTGAATTACTTAAATTATTTTAGTAAGTGTTTAACGGTGCACATTACGAAAACTACTTCAAAATGAATCCTTTACACTTACTGTCAGATCTACAAAGTAACGACTTCTGGACCGGCGGCAATAAGTTGGCCGATTTGCAGAATTTCCGCTGGAGCTACGAAGGTCCCAAGTTCAGTTATTCCAATTGGGGTTTCGGCCAGCCGGACAACTCTTTGGGCAGTCAACATTGCGTCAAGCTGGAAGCGAGTTCTCTGAAATGGCACGATGATTTCTGCGAGAATACCTACCACTTTATATGCCAAATAGATGAAGAGGAGTAAGTAAGTAAGTGTAGAATGAGCGTATAAAAGGTTTTAATAAATTCACTTTGAAGTAACGGTAGCACGAGGATCACAACGAATAGAACAACCGACTCTTGGTATTCTTGAAACGCGGTTTGAATGATTAAAGCAACAGTGTCGCACGAAGAAAATGGCCAATTTAAAGGATCTTCAATCCGAACCTTATAATAATCGAAAATGAAGATAATGAAAAGCATAATTCTATTAGAAAATTTAATAAAAATTACCAATAAGAATACATTTGTGGAAGAAGAAGAAGAAAATATAGAAATAAATAATATAATATGACTTAAGACGCGATTGGACCTCTCTTATAAGTATTCTGATGCAAAAATTGAAGATTTAAAGTTTCGTTTCCAAATCTTTGCCTCTTTTAGGGTTGGACCTCACCTTTATTTAATTTGCGCTTTCCAACTCCCGAAGCGATTTCCGACAGAGCTGCTTCAATGATTTCAGTTGGCCCACATATCTTTCTTTTTTTTAACCAACAAAATAGAGTTTATACTGAGACGGCTCCGAACGGCGAATGGATTTATGAAGAGCTTTTATTATTTCATATCAGTAATCCGCTCGGGCGTCTTGTCATTTCCTACCAAGAGGCAATAAGAAAACTTAATTTTCTATAACTTCAGATGTTGGTCAAACCAGTGCTCGAACCCTGGCCCACCGCGTGGCAGCTATTCTAACCACTCGGCTATTGCGGACCTCACTTAGTTGGCAGACTATATACATAGAGACCATGGGCACAGAAGTAGTGAAGTCTTGGGACCCTTCTGAAAGGTAGAAACATTTAGTGAAGCCACCCTAACATATTCGGTTGAAGGGTCCACTGGAGCTGGCGTCGGTCTCGAAGCAAGTATTTCGCTATAGGAATGTCTTCTAAATGTGTTTGTATGCTAAACTCGTTACCCGCCTCATTGGCAACCAAATCCATTGATTGACAAAGCCTCGTCTGATAACTACTAATTACGTTGACAATTATGATTTGAGAGTATGTACCTGGAATGACCAGTACCTTGATTGGAAGGGTTGATGGCCATGTAAGATCAAATGCGCAGCTCTAGGCGAGTAGGTCCGATGTCGTACAGCTGCGATTTTCTACACAACTCACAGTGCTCAGCTGCCTTGCTTTGCTCAGAATCTTGGAGAGATGGAATTCCGGAACTGCAAGCTCCCTACAGCCATTGGTTTTGAAAAAGGTCGAAAAAGAAGTAGCTATAGGCGCTACTTTGGACTAGTGAGAGTTGTCGTACCGAAGTGTAGAGAAAAGAGTATGCTTACTACAATATCTTACGCTCTACTCCAACGTGAGCGGTATGAAGAAGGAGGCGAGAAGCATTTGTAGTTAAAAAAGAGAGAGATACCTCTAAAGGGATTTCAAAACCGGACGAGAAAGGATCCAGTGACATACCTTCAGAGTGAATTACATTTTATGTGAACAGTGGATTAGAATTTGGAATAGCGAGTTCCCCATTGAGGAGTTGTAAAGCGGTAGAAGACGATGGCTTAACGGCGATGCTATTCCAATTTGACGAATAAGAAGAGGCAAGGTTCAGGAGTCTTCAGTATATGGCTAGACGAAAGTGTGCACTACGATTAAGACCAGAAATGTTCTAGCCAATTTCTGGGAATGGGGATGTCATAGCCTGCGACAGTTAACATAAGATAATCCAGGACGATACCGTATGTGAGATCATCCTTGGGGTTTTGAGTGAAAGACTTAAGCCCAACGTCAACGAATTTATGGAACTTAATACCTAAAACTTCACACCAGGTAAATTTGACATAGAAAACCATCGACACGTACCATCTCGTCCTAAAATGAGAAGCTGCTTTTGATAGCACGAAAACGAGCGGACTTTCATGCCATTCTTGACAGTTACAACTTTGAAGTTGTAGATAATTTCATCTATCTTGGAACTATCATCAACACTAACAATAATGTTAACCTATAAATCTAAAGCAGAATCACTCTTCCCGACAGGTGCTACTTCGGACTGAGTATGCAATTTAAAAGTAAAGCCCTCTCTCGGCGAAAGAAAACCAAACTCCACAAGTCGCTCATCATACACGTCTTACTATATGGCGCAGAGCCGTAGACGATGTCAAAAGGTGATCAGTCAGCGATAGGAGCTTTCGAGCGAAAAGTTTTGCTAACGTTATATGTTCCTTTGCGTATTGGCAACGGCGAATACCGCAGACGATGGAACTATGAGCTTTACGAGCTGTATGATGATATTGACATAGCGAATCTATAGACAGCGGCTAAGTTGGCTAGGTTATGTCGTCCGAATGGATGAAAGCTCTCCAGCTTAGAAAGTATTCGCTAGTGGAAGCAGTGGAAGAGGAAGACCTCCATCCCGTTGGAAGGATCAGGTGGAGAAAGACCTCGCCTCACTTGGTATTTCCAACTGGATATAATTGCTTAAGCGGTGCCAACACCAATAAAGAAGAAGAAGAAGTTGGACGGGCTAATAACTTAGTCGATGGAGCAATAGATGCTGTAATAATAATTCTAATTATGCTATGCGTCTTGATGTGTTTCCAGAATATGGCGACAACGACAACCAATAGATCTTTATGAGTAACTTTTATTTCGGAATACTCAAAAATAAGCTCGGAGGACTTGGCATTCCCTGCCGAGGGTTAAACGCAATTAGAGAAATTAATTTTAAATTTTAGTCGAGACTGGACTTGAGGCTGGACCTTTCGAATGGCAGTACGTAATACTAGGCAATTGCGGCCGACATGACAAATCAGTTCAATGAATAAAGGGAGAGCGTTTACGCTCTCTAGGCCATGTTGCACAGTTGGATGAATGAAAAGATTCCAGCTTTGAAAGTTTTCGATGCAATAACTCCGACGAAAGCTAAGTAAGAGAGCATGTTTCGAAATGATAGGGGAGAGAGAGAGAGAGAGAGAGAAAGAGAGAGAGTGAGGGGGAAAGAGGGAGAGAGAGAGAAAGAGAGAGAGTGAGAGGGAGAGAGAGAGGAAAATACCTTTCACTTAATATATGCAAATGGCGCCAAAGAACGACAAATTTTACTACCGGCGTGCTATTGCTGACCTGGCTCATAGTGTTTTCAATAATATTTTATTCTATCAGGGAATTCTAATACGCTTAATCTTATCATATTTATTAGTCGTAGATAAGACAGCAACAGTCAAGCCCCAGGACTGTTTACATTTCGGCATATTTTTATGATTTCTCAGCTTTTATGGTGTTCAAATAAATATTTAATTTTATTAGTAATTAATGAAATCTCACTAATTGAGTGCTACTTGAGTTGACTTAGTTGTTTATAGAGCAAACGCACACACACACACACAAACACTCATACTCATACTCGTCGTTCAATTGTGTGTAATAAAATGGCACTTGATAAAACCAATCAACTTAAAGCGATACTTAAGTACTTTGCGTCATGCTCATTGACAAATAAAGTTAAATTACTTGCGATTGTAAAATGCATTTAAATATATTTATTTTAAATTTTACAAAAGACGCTTTTAATGAAATAATTTGCATTGTAATTATTTGTAAAATTCCTTACGCAATGACAGAAGGTAAATCACAATCATCACTCGAGAGGGCGCTCAACGAAAATGCTTTCTAATTTCATTAAAATTTCTCGGAATTAATTAAAAAATTAATCAACTAAAAATGTCGGCAGGGTAAGCAATTAATTGGTTGTGACTAGAGCAAGTAAGAGGCCTTGGGAGGAAGAATTAGGTAAATATAAAATCGTAACAGTTCGCTACAAAATGCTAATCAGCAGTAAGAAAAGTTACAAAAGTACAAAAGTTACCTACCGATTGAATTGAAATTTTGCGAGGGGAGGTTTATACGAAACAAAATTTTTAGGAAGTGGATCAGAGACCGACCTTTTTGAAAAAAATTTTAATTAAGGTTCGTTCAATTTACTTGAAATTCCGTGCATGGATGGATTTTCGCTTGGAATAACAGGAAGATTATCATTCTCTCCGTAAGGTGGACCAGAAACTGACCTTTAGAAAAAAATTGGACTATTCTTATCTCCAGAAAGTGGACCAAGGACAGATCTATAATCATATTCATGGTCCGATTTACTTACGATGAGTATTTGGGACGGCGAAGCGTTACAGGGTACAGCTAGTCATGGTATAAAAAATTAAATGTCAGATTTTGCTAAACCCCAATTGTGGTGAGTTTTCATTCATAATAATAGCTAAAACCCTACAAAAAGTAAAAAAATTGTGAACAATAAGACGTTGCCCTATGTCATGTCAACAGTCGTGTTTTTCCGCTTATCGGCCTTGTGGTCTATTCTTTGCTACCGCACATTTTCCTGCATTCGAGAAGAGCGAAAATTCTCAAATCTGTCTCTTACACACGAGGTGTGACAATTAAAAATGAGACTGATTATATTGCCGCGATTGTGGCAAGTCTATGAACTTAAAATTCCATTTCACTTCTCCCGGCATCCTTCTCCTCTCCATTGATATATTTGCCATCGCTCTAGCTTGCTCAGTTAGTGCTAGTGCTCTTATTCGTGCCCAGATGTTTCGATAGCATACAGAATTTAAGCAGAGGAGTGAAAGCATGCAAGACGAGGCGCGCAATTCGAAGGTGAAAACGATGATTATTGCCTTTTCACAAAGATTTTCTTCCGCCGGGGCAAATCGTAAATCAAGTCTACTATCGGCAAGTACTCGAAAGGTTGCGAATACGAGTCAACAGAGTGCGCCCAGACATCGCTCGTAATTGGATTCTTCATCACGACAACGCGCCGTGCCACACCGCCCTCAGCATATCCCAGTATTTGGCCTCTAAAGGGATCGACGTGTTCCAACAACTGCCTTATTTGCCAGATATGCCACCCTGTGACTTTTTTTGTTCCCTAGAACAAAATCGTTGGATAAAAGAACCCATTTTGAGTCGATTGAGGACATCCAGATGGCCGTGACGGGGGTACTCGCGGGCGTTCCAGTCGACGTGCTCCAAAAATGTTACGAAGTATGGAAAATGCGCTGGAGTCGTTGTATAGCTGCCCAAGAGGACTACTTTGAAGGGAATGGTAGAGTTGTAGAATAATTTTGTAATAGTAATCAGTCTCATTAATTAAATGTCACACCTCGTATAAGTTTGGATGACTCAGTGTATAGCTCCTGAGATTCAGCATTTTATATAATTTTCTTTCTTTCTTTTTTTATTAGACGAAAATCTCGTTACCTCATACCCTTGACAAAGCCTCTAACAGCTTAAGTAATTGAAACCACTAGT